TGGCGTAAATCTGAATAGCAGGAAATAAAGAAGAAAACTGTTATAGACATACGGATTTGATTTTATTTAATCAATACGGCATTCTTATTTTACTGGGAACAACATCAAAAGTTTGGACTGCAATGGGTAGCAGCACAACTAAAACTTCTGTATTTCCAGGTGTGACCCATTTGGAGTATTCTTAAGGCTTTGTTTGAAGAAAATATGCAAGAAAACAATGCACTGAGATTTTCTGTGCAAATTATTATTGAATATTAACAATTTACATACACCTCAAATAAATGCAACAGGGATAAATTATTAAAGTTAACTTTTATTCAAACCAAGAAATTTTAGACATGTAATATTAAGGACTTTTAAAGTATTTTGATGAAAACTAAATGCCAATTTTACATGAGTTATTTGATATTGAATTATGTTGTTTTATTAACATAAAATAAATAATAGGTACAATTGTTGGTTACCTAATGTTAAGAAAGAATATAGTCTCTATTGCATGGAGACACAATAACTCAGAATCTATATGTATTTTCTTAATATTTAAGTTCATACGCAACTTTATTGGGCTCTTTCCTGGAGTTGAAGAGTTCCACTAAATGAAGGACCTAAGTTTAATACTTTTAATGTCTATGCTTTTGTAGACCTATTCTTAAGCAAATTTGGATGGGAAAAATCTTGAAATTATGTTTCGTAATTTTTGTATATTTTTTTTTTTGAATAATATAAAAAATTTTCATAATGTATATGGTAATAAATCTCATATCTCAGGCTGATTTTATGTCTAAGAACATGTATTGGTAATATGATTTTAAATTAGGAATATCTTGAAAAATTATCCGTAGGTAAGGTACCTTGCTTATGTCCTTAAAAAATTGAGTTGGCAAATTTTGACTTTGAGGAGGCTCAGACGGAGAGCCCTTGGTATAATTGTACCAGGGGATCCCAGGGGCATGTACCTCAGAAATCTGTTGGAATTAATCATTCAAAATAGTGGTTAATGGGATAATTAGTGAGATTGTATTTCTATCAAATATATACCTTGCTCTTTTGCCACCTTATAATGCAAAGATAAAAAAGAAAATTCTCCAGTTTCAATTTGAATTTATGTTAATAGAGTTTGAATAGAATTGAATTTGTGTTGATAGGACAATTAAGCATTGATGGAAAGTCATTAATAAAAAAAATCGAACCATATGCAAATTATCCCTGATCAAACAAACATTTAAAAGGATTACAGGTTCAGTCCTTTATTATTGCTAAGGTATTTGAGTTCTTTTTCAAGAGTAAAAAACGAGTTTGAAATCTGTCGGTAATCCATTTGAAATCTCCTTTAGGAGATGGAACCACAAACTAGATCTGTAATTCATCAAGGTAGACAAAAACTCACTCTATGATAATTGTACAATTTAATCTGACGGACAAACTGTTAGGTGGAATAACTTAGCCTTTTATTTTGAGATGAGAAGTGTAATCGGAAACTGAAAGATTACTTAAAGTATAAAACTCGGTGAAATATATTTAACCTTGATTATTTTCCTTTATTATTCTGTGTTGAACTTCATACCATGTTGTAACCCCAGCCTGTCCGTCGGGAAAAATGATTTTGAACACATTTAAAATTAAATTACCAGTATCCCTCTGTAAAAAATGACTCATTACACGTTGCCAATTTTGACAAGACAATTTTGAAACTTGTTTCTTATTACTCCAATGCAAAAGTTTTATTGTTAATTATAGGACATTTGTTGAATTTGGTTCATTTCACTTTTATCATCATCTAGCAATGGATTTTTAACGAGTTAAAGATTATTCAAAATTATTCGAATTTTTTTCAATATACATCGAATACTTTAACTACATGAAAAATACATGTACTTTCAAGAAATTTAATTAATTTCATAAGTAAAAGTATAGGTATTTAAGATCAACAATTACGGAGGAATGGCAATTCGTAAACATCACTTTATTAGAAAATCAGTTTTCAAGCATAAAGAGGAACACACTTCCAAACGTTTGTGTCCAAATGAAACGATAGAAAAATAAAAGAAAAAAAACATTTTTTTTTTGAAAATCCTGATACACACAAATGAGACAAATTCACATATTTTCGTGCGTGAAATATTTCTAAGTAATTCTGTTTCTAACATATTGAAATAAATAAATCCAAATTGGACCGTTTACAGTTTAATGAGCATATGGTTTTATTATAAGAAAACGAAAAAAAAATCTTTTGACAATAAATTTTTACATTATATGTCGCTTATTTGAAATATCGGATGACTGATATTGAAGACGAGAAAAAAAAGGAATGACAAAACCATAACAAAAGTTATTTCAGAAAAGAAGTTTTAACTTTATTACAAACATTTATTTTTCACATTCTTTAGGCATCAAATTTAACCTTTTAACCGTTGAAAAAATTCATTCAGAAATAGGACTCGGTAGTACGTTTTAACGATCAAAGAATAGAAGGTTAATACATCAGCTGTATTGTTTTCACGTATGTTCATAAGGTATTCTCTTACAGCTTGTGATATTTTTTATCAAAGTTTGCCTTCAGCTTTTACATGTTTAAGGAAACTATACTTCATTTTTCTCGTTATGAACAAGAATACAAGAATTAAGTTAACAAAGCTTTGACATATATGTAACTATGTGCATAACCGTATCAAGTTGATCTTTGTATGAGGTATTATATGGTGTCAAAATTAATTAGAATATTTCTAAAATTACAGTCGCTGTCATTTACAACTATTTCAGTCACGCACTTCACACGAGGTTCACAGTTTTACTCTTCATCAACAATTTAACAATGCTGTAGGAATGAGGTAGTAATGAAATCTCACCAGCTTTTTTCAATATTCGGGCTTTATGAGATTAAATGAAATGACTGAAGTGAGAATGGTACGATAATGTGATATCACGATTTTTATAACACATGTAGAATTGAATTTGAACTTTATACATCAGTATTGTCTATTTCGATAAAAAAAATATATTTAATTGCAATGAATTAATTTGTATGTATATCATCCCTTTCTTTAGATGTTTTATCATTGCGTTTTATTATTCTTTTTGTTTTTGGTTAATTAAATCAGTACATTGTACTTTCTCAGCTTTCAGACATATGCAACATAAATTGTTTGCAATAATAATTAAATATATGTAATACACAGCATCACATACTGTATGTGTACTTTAGAAAACGGGTTAAATATTTTAGCGGCTTTGGCGCAGACGAAATACGCTAATTAAAATGAATACCGCTAAGAATTACGTATACAATACTCTGAATGGACATGTGTAGCCCTATTATGTAATTACGCCAACAACTCCATACCCAATGATTGCCCGAAATTTTGAATACGCCAAATTATGTACACGTACAGTATTATACATTTGTTTTGAAGCAATGATGGTAGTGGTATATATAATATGGGTGACTCATTTTAAACATGTTTATCTAATCTCCGGATCTTCTCTCCTTGATTTTGAAACTTTATTTCTATGCATTTTAATTCAAAGAAACGGGCAATTATTTCCAAAAATTAGAGAAAACATCCAGAGACCATACAAATTAGCTTTTTTTCAACGCTGTAAATGTGATGCCTTTACAATACAATACAATACAATAGCAATAAATAGTATAATAATTATTTAGCCTGATTAGGTCTCTTAATTTGTAGCACGATTACAATAAAACTAGAACAGTAGGTGTAGCTTTTACTAAAATTTTACATATTTTTCTATTTCAGTTTCCACTGCAGGATCATTCTCCAAATAAAAAAATTGAAGCCAAATATGTATCTCAATGTAATCTACTTGCGAAATAATGGTGTAATCAGACTAGATTTGTATTTGGAGTAGAACTTTTAAAGTATTTCTCACAATTTTTTTTAAGTAGCGACGATAACACCATACATCGAAAACAAAAACCGAAACACTGAATTATGTATCTTACTGTAATATACTTGTGTGCCAAGTTACTGTGAAATCACTAATTTTCGTGGGGGTTTAATTTTCGTTGTTTTCGAGGTATGAAGAGACCTTCGAATTCATGTCCACCACGAAATGTAAATTTTCATATGCTCAACTATTAAAAAGTTCTTCATCCACGAAATCAAATCCCCACGGACCAACATTTTTTTCCTTCAACCACGAAAATTTGACCCAACGAAAATATGTGATTTTACAGTATATTGAAATCAGATCAAAACTGTAGGAGGAGTAGCATTTTAAAAAATGTTAACAGACCGACAGACGGACGACGGTCACATTTCCAGCTCTTTTGGTCTCTTACCAGTAGAGCTAAAAACCGTCACACATTTTATAATCATGGTATTTTAAACTTAATGAAAAAAATTCCATGACTAATAGTAAAATCTGACCTGCTATGGTCATGCAAGTAAATCATAGATATTTTAACCATAAATGTTTAGTATAAATGTTTCCTACGGATCACACGCAAATACGCCCATCTTCTTTTCAAATTAACAATTTTGTAGTGGATCAGATGATGATACATCTAAATTGCTATCGCTGAGCATATTTGAAAGGTTTCATTCTCTCTCGTAAGGATACCTTGGATGTCGTGCAGGTATAAAGTTGATTTAATTCATGTGACCTCGGAGTACGTCGAAATCTAGAATCAATACCAAGAAAGATATTGCTATTATCTATTTGCCAGCTAGAAAGGTTTTCTTGAAATTAAAGGTGAGACAATATAACTTTTAAATTTCAAAGTAAAAGTTTAAAATGACGTTGAGTTTTATAATGCTTATTCTTAAATCATGAATAATATTTCTAATTATTTATAATGTGCTGATGGAGTGACACGACAAAGGGTTGTCTGAATCTTGTTTCATTTCCTTTAAAGTGAATTTATCAATTTAAAATTTCCGCCAATGTTGAGCTTATCAGATATCTTAATGATGATAATTGATGATGATTGATGATAATGATATTGCAGCTTCCCTATCATCATGTGACAAACACTTATAATGGACCAGCGTTACATTGGCCAAGACATCCTCCTCTGTGACCTGTGTCAAACATCTGCATTACAGAGTCACTGTAGACTTCAGATTAACCTGTGTAATGCATGTGTCGGGTTGCATCTCTCTGATTCATCTAAAAGACACCTAACTGCCTGAAATGTCCAAACCACACCAAGACACATTGTGAACTTTACTGTGAGAAATGTGACATTCCTGTTTGTTCTACCTGCATCATAAACATAACGGCCACGGTTTATCGAGAGCTCTACAAATTCTTAGTTTTAAAACAAAAAATGTATCCTACATATGAAAAAAATTCATTAGACTTGCACTCTGAAAAAGTAAATGTGGTAAAACATTATGAGAAACTGACAACAGCTGTTAGAAAACGTGGAGAAGAATTGCACAAAGAAATTAACATCTTTGTTGACAAACAGAAATTAGAAATTATTGAGATGAAAACCAAAACTCTAAATAAACAGGAAAATGAAATCAAACGGATTACTTCAGCTGTTAAACAGTGCATAGTTGATCTGAAGAAAATACTGGACTCCAATGATGTCTCCTTAACTTCTGTGTACAAATCCAGGAATGCTGAATTCAAAAGTTTACCTCCTAAAGTCAATATTTCATTGCCAGATTTCCCTCCTCATCAGATCAATAGAGAAAAACTCCATAAAATGTTTGGTTCTCTGTCAGCATTTTCCATTACAACAGAAGAACATGACTACAAAATGAAGACACCAGAAGCTGTATCCTGTCCTCGAGTCAAACCACTGCTTGATGAACCAGAGCTTATCATCACCATAGACACTGGACTACTTTATAGTCTTACGTACCTGTCTTAGTGATGAAGAAATTTGGACACGTGGAGATGATAATATTATGAATCTTTACAACCTTCAGGGTAAACTACTGAGGTCATCCAAACCAACTCTGGGAACATACCACATGATATAACGGTGAAGAAGGGTGGAAACCTAGTTTATACTGATTCCGAAAGAGGAACTGTGAATATAGTGAAGAAAAAAAAAGATACAGGAATTATTCCGACTTAAGGGATGGAAACCTATGTATGTCTGTAGTACCTCCTCTGGTGACCTACTTGTTACCATGAACAGTGACGATGATAAACAATCAAAAGTTGTCCGTTACTCTGGCCCTCAAGAGAAACAAACCATTCAGTTTGATAGTGAAGGTAAACCTCTGTATTCATCTGGTTCATACGGTAAATACATCAGCGAGAATAGGAACCTAGATATCTGTGTGTCTGACCATATTGCCAGTGCAGTAGTGGTTGTTAATCAGGCGGGGAAAATGCGATTTAGATACACTAGTCATACCTCGACTACCAAAGGATCATTTGGTCCAGTCGACATCACAACAGACAGCCAGAGTCAGATCGTAACAGCAGACTATAACAACCACTGTATCCACATCCTACATAGGACGGACAGTTCCTCCGTTACATTGATGACTGTGATTTAAGATTCCCATGGGGTTTATGTGTAGACACCAGAGACAACCTGTTTATCACTGAGTATTTATATGACAGTGGTAAAGTAAGGAAAACCAAATACATGTAAACATTGTGTACTCATGCCAAAAGAAAGTTATTACCAATCTATATTTTTCTGTAACTTTTTTACCCCGAAACAATTCACATCATATTCATAATTTTTTATACCTTAGAGGGATTCAGCCTTTTTCAGTTGTAAAATAAAGTTTTAAATAGCCGCACTTTGTCATGTAAGTGTTTTTTTTTGTACATATGGAAAGTAACCAAGATACAAATACATTTATAATGCATCTTCATAGGATTTTGCAACTTTTTTTTCTATTTAGCTTTTTTTATACTTAACTTGGACTTAATGAAATTTCAAAAGCTCAGACTAATTTAGTTCATTGAGATTAAATGTTTCAGTTTATCCAAATATGTAAATACAATTTAATATTTTTGTCTAAATGCAAGAGTTTTTTAAGGTTGAAACTTTTGAAAATTTTGTTTTCGGACATGTAGTACCATTTTTTTTACATTTGTATTTTTTTACATTGATCTTAGGTTATAAGAATAAAAAAAAGTATTCAGTATTTGACATGATGATATGTTCACAGCGACACGCTATCAGCGATTGCGTGTAAAACAATGTTAAAAGATATTCCAGAGTATGCATTTATGTTGTGTATGTAATTTAATCAGAGGGTATGAATAAGTATGTAAAAAGATGAAGTATCTGTTGACATTTTGGAAAACACCTTTAGCTCTTTAGTTTTTCGTATACAATATCTGGTAGAATGTAAATGATAAACCATAGATCTATGTATGTTTTATAGTTACTTTTTGAATAGCATCATTACAAGTTGTAAATATGTAAAGGATCTTTTTTTCTTCTTTATGATATATAACCCTTAGAGTAAATCTGAGAAGAAAGAATAAAAAACTGTTAGGCACTGTTAGGTACTGTTAGGCATATTTAATTTTATTCAATTAATACATCATTGTTATTCTACTGGGAACAACAGCAAAAGTTTGGACCGCAGTGAGTAGCAGAACAACTAAAACTTCCGTACCCCCAGGTGTTGACCCATTTGGCATTGGGAGTATTCTTAAGGCCTCGTTTGGAGTAAATATGCAAGGCATCAATGCATTGAGGTTTTCTGTGAAAATGATTATTGAACATTGACAATTTACATATACCTAATATAAATGCAATATGAATTGATATGCATTACAATAAAGACCTACGTATTAAAAATTATGAAGATAAAATGTTGTTATTTTGTATAAAACCCCGTGCTTATTCAAATTTCTAGGAGAATACAAACAAAAACCTTACTTGATTAATTCAACTGCATAATACTTTTCACAACTCTTCCTACATGTATCTTTTCCTACAAACCCTCCAACTTCATATAAAAACGTTTCATACATTTCATTTATTTTCAACTTTTCTTACTTGTTAAATCCATCCCAGTCCTCATTCATATCAGTGACTGATTGACAGATTGAGTTGCAAGACTCTCCACTAACACATTTGCGAGGAATGGCCGCGTTGTAAGACCTCTGTGGACCCAAAAAGATACAAGCCGCTGTCGCTATTTGATGATCGTTATCGTGATCATAATGATGATAATTTCCACTCATAAGCAAGATATTTGTCCCCAAAGCTGAAATTCATTTTTTAATCATCAAGAGCACATTAGAATAATTAATCCTGAATTTTGTAGTTTTAGACATTTTTGATAATGTACACTTTTTCTTTCTCATAGTGTTACATATTTTACATACGTTAAATTTCTGACTTTCTTTTCAGATTTTTAAGATAGATTGATTGTTTAACGTCCCTTTTGGGAGTTTTTTTTACTCATATGGAGACGCCAACAGTTGCCGGTACAGAACTATAAATTTTGTCCTATACTCGGTACTTAGGGCCAATGAGCAGTGAGGGATCTTTTATATTTGTATTATTTAGAACCGTAAAATGTAAATTTATATGATTGTATGAGCATCTGAATCAATTAAATACAACATTTTAACCCCAACCCCCCATTCATAGAAAATTTATAAAATATTAATTTAGGTGAAAATACATGTTATTACACACAGTAAATCTAACAGTAAATTAGTTTACGTTCATATATATAATTATATATACATCAAATATAAACGAGCTTTTTAATTTAAAACACCATTAATTCATATCTTGAAATATCTTAGCATGTGCAATTTTATACATATGTACATGTCTCTTCATTCATATTTACATTGTAATTATATGCACATTATAATTTACAAACCAAACCCACTAACACTTACGCTGACCGAATGTGTTTGTCACGTAAATTTGAAGAAATTTTTTAGTAAAATATTAAAATATGGCAGTTGAAAAACGAAAGTGAAATAGAGGTTGACGCGATGCATTAATCAATACTTTTAATAAGAGATATTCAAAATATATTTGAATTTTCTTAAACAAGAGAGCATTTAACTTTTATTTCTTCATTTAAAATAGTAAATAAGATTTTTTTTAATACGCCGACATTTTATTTAAAACAGGTGTAAAATTTCTACATCTATCCTTAATTTTTTTCATATAAACAGAGAATAAAAAAGAGAACAAACAGGTATTTCATCTTTCTCGATTTAATCTCAACAACGGTACCTAACACCGTCACGGTAAAGTCGTGGGCCCGCGATCTCCGCGATGAGAAGACCGTGACGGTGTATCGCGGAATGGATTCGCGGGAACGCGGGAAAATACGGGATCCGTGTTTAGCGTCGTGTACATATTATATAGATTTTGATTGGATAAGATAGACACTCCTTCACACTGGGATTTATTTAAAGTCTGGCATTTAAAATTCAGATCAATTGGTTTGGAACCTTCTCACTGGTTCGTGTTTGCTCGCTCCTTTCCTAAAAAAGGTGGATCCCTGTCTCTGTCTCAATTTCGTTAAATTATCCCGTTTAAAGCTCTTGGAAATGCATTTCTCATTTACATTTCTCTTTTTCTTTCCTTCAATTACACGTTCATTTAAGTGTCATTTTCAAGTTTCTTATTTCTATTTTTGGTAAACGGGTTAGGTTAGGCATAGAAGATTTTTCGTGCAGGGGTTAGGTATTCCTTTTCGGACTGAGCATTGGGTAAGACTGATTCTGGATTTTGTACATCTGTTTAGTAGGCTTCATTTTTTGTCCATAAGTAAGAAAGATCGTCACTACTGTAACATCAGTTTTAGTTGTACATATTAAAATGTAAATTAATATTTTTTGCTGTTACATGTAATTAAATACAATTGTTGTCGTAATAAATACTTGTTAATTTGCAAACTTTTGTTGTTAAAATTCTTAGTTTGGTAAGTCACTTATGTGTCTTATATAATTGAGATACAAAAGTTTTATTGGTTAATAAGAAGTTGGTATAAAACTCGAAATACTATGAAAATTGAAGAAAGTGTGAGACATTTGAGAGGTATTTTCATTCGATCATTTTCGTTATAATTGGTATTGTTATGGGTCAGAATTACCCGAAATGCCAGCAAAGATCAATAACACAGTTTAAACTTAACAATAATTTATTTACAGTAATATATAATAAGTATATGAAACATAAAGTACAAACTTAGCAAGAATCTAAGAATACTTACATCAGAGTGTCCGTTGCTGCACACAATGTCCCAGTGAAAATATATCCCATTTATATCTCAATAGTGCTTATATGACAAAGTATTCCTATGCATCGAATTGACAGATTATTTATACAGTATCATAAATCTAGAATATTCTAGAAATTGTTAAAACATGATATTACTGGAACAATCTGGACATACACAAAATTTAAGAATGTTCTATATAAAATGACCTAACATTTTGACCACTCTGGAACGTTCAAGAAACTTAATGTTACTAATTATATACATAATGAAACAATACACATCTCACAACACCTTCCCCCTTAAAAAGTTTGAATGCCAATGAAAACTTATATTATTAAAATAAAAGTTATGTACATTAATACAAATTCTAGTATGTTTACGATACTCTTGACAAGGCGTCTGCAATAACATTGTCTTTGCCTTTGATATGCTTAATTGTTATGTTGTTTTCTTGTAACAACAAACTCCATCTAGTCAGTCTTTGATTCTTATTTGACAATTTATGCAAAACTGTCAGGGGGTTGTGATCCGCATATACAAGAATTGGATGCAAAGTAACATTCAGATAAACATCAAAATGCTGTAAGGCTAACAACAAAGCAAGGCATTCCTTTTCAATGGTGGAATACTTTTGTTGACATTTTGTAAGTTTCTTTGCAAAATAAGAAACAACTCTATCTACCTTATCACT